CATTACCATTATACCCATTTTCTGACTGAGGAAAAAGAAGCTCTGTGGGATTAAATGGCTGGCCAAGCCCTGTGTCCAGCACGCAGTGGAGCTAGGATGCAGCACAATGTGGTCTGGAGCTAAGCCTGTGCTCTTTCTGCCACACTTCGCTGATATCCATGACCGGGTTGAGATACATAGAGAGCCTATCCCCTAAAATGATATCCTCGCCTTATGTAAAAATAAAAATGACTAAAAACCATAAAACAAAAGTAAGAAAGGCCAGCAACTGTTTCACAGATGACTACAATGAAAAATATCTATATATCTATCTAGATCTAGATCTGTATGTCTCTCAAATACTTTGCAATTTGTTCAGTCTCCTGTTTCAGTGCCACGGGCACATACCTGGTTGGCTTATCTAGTGTTCAAAGATGGAGGATTTATTATGAGACCGTGTCCTGTGGCTTCCTGCCCTGGCCTAACTTTAGAGGGGCATCCAGCTCTGGTGTGGCCAGGAAACTGTGGAAGTTTTAGGAAGTGCTATATCAATGCATTAATAATAACAAAATTATTCTGAACAGCACTGACGCTATCAGTCTAAATGACAATGACCGCCATTTTTTTTAACAAGATATGGTTTTTAAAAATTTTTTTAGTGTTTTATTTATTTCTGAGAGAGAGATAGAGATAGCATGAGCAGGGGAGGGTCAGAGACAGAGGGAGACACAGAATCTGAAGCAGGCTCCAGGCTCCGAGCTAGGTGTCAGCACAGAGCCCAACATGGGGCTCGAACCCACAAACCGTGAGATCATGACCTGAGCCGAAGTCGGACGCCCAACCGACTGAGCCACCCAGGCGCCCCGACAATGACTGCCATTTATTGCACTGGTGCCAGGTACTTCACAAAGGCTTTTCTCATTTAATTCCCACAATGGCTCTTTTACCAGCCAGGAAACTATTTCTGGAAAGTTAAGTTATGTCCCCAAGGACATACAGTCAGCATCAGACCTGAGATGAGAACGTGTCTGTCAATCCCTCAACTCTTCCCTTACACAGAGCTGACTCAACCTCTCTTCCAAATAATCTGCCTCAGATGAGTTCCGGGGTCCATACTGACTACTTCCCAGGAGTAGGATAGCAGTGAGGGACTGGCATTGACGTGGCCTCAGGAGAGTTTAGAAGAAATGGAATTTTTTTTCTGTATCTCGGCATATCTCTATGCCTGAGCTGCAGTCTCAGGATTAATGCCTTCAAGGCACACCAGAAAACCCCTCCCTGCCACAACTCTGTATGAATGTCCTTATCAGCACAGGGTGGTAGGGAAGAGGGTGAGTTCTGGAAGCAAATTGCCAGGGCTTGAAACACAACCGTATTTGCTAGCTGTATGCGACCTTGAACGAGTAGTTATCAGGGTGTAGGAAAAATACTTATCTCATATTTGTTGTGAATAGTATATGAAGAGAGAGAAGAGGAAAGAGAATCCCAAGCAGGCTCCACGCTGCCAATGTGAGGCTCCAACTCACAAACCATGAGATCATGACCTGAGCCGAAATTAAGAGTTGGACCCTAACTGACTAAGCCACCCAGGTGCCCCAAGCCAGCTAACATTTTATTGAATTTATCTTAAGTGTGATAATATGATGCTCTTGGTAAGGCATTTTAGTAAAGACAATTGAGAAAAATACAACTAAAGAGTACTAAATGAATAAACAGCCTATTTTATTCAAAATGACCAGCTTTAACCCCATGAAATAGGAAGGAGGCAGAAAACCTCTTCATTGGAAGTAGGGCTTTAACATTATTAGTGAAATATTGCTGAGGTAGGCAGACTGGCTTTTATCTGTGTATTCGCCTCTGTAAGCATCCATCCACTTGTCTATTCAAAAAGGCACTTAGGGAGTAAACTCTGGGTAGCCTCTTTAGGGAAGTGAGCTAAGCAGCAAGGTCGCGATAGTTATACAACAGGAAAAAGCGTGAGTGGCAAAATGTTGACTGTCACAGGGAAACTGTGACAATGTGACAGTTCATGCTAGGGTGGTCAAAGCCACAGACAAGCAAGAGATAACTCCATAAGGGGTCTGAGGCCAAGCCATTTAGCCCTAAGCCCCAAAAAGGTTCATCACTAAGATTTAGAATGCAGGACAAACACTAGAGTTGGTGGTGGTGGTGTGTGTGTGTGTTTTGAGGCAGCTTATTTTTTTATTTTATTTTATTTTTAGAGAGAGAGAGAGCATGTATGAGCAGGAAAGAGAGAGACAGAGGCAGAGAATCTCAAGCAGGCTTCTTGCTCAGTGTGGAGCTTGATGAAGGGCTGGATCCCATGACCCTGGGATCATGACCTGAGCCCAAATCAAGAGTTGGACACTCAACCGACTGAGCCACCCAGGTGCCCAGGGTTTTAATTCAAGGAGGTATATAAGATCCAGAATAGGGCAAATTATAACTAAGGAAGAGTAATTAAGCATTAGTGAAGGAGGTACCAAAATGTATTCATTGATATCTTTAAAAGTTCAAAATACTCACTTTATCACTCAGTATTTTATTTCCAAATATACATACACACATATTTTATAATACATATTTGTAATATGTGTGTATATATATGAATATATTTTTTAAAAATTTTAATGCTTATTTTTGAAAGAGAGACCAAGTACAAGCGAGGGAGAGGCACAGCGAGAGGAGGGGAAACACAGATTCCGAATCAGGTTTCAGGCTGTGAGCTGTAAGCACAGAGCCCAACGCAGGGCTTGAACCCATGAACTGCAAGATCATGACCTGAGCCAAAGCCAGATGCTTAACTGACGGAGCCACCCAGGTGCCCCATATGAGTCTATTAAAATACAACACATATACATAAATATGTCCACATCGTAACTGTGCAGTTTGGAGAATTACCACATTTTCATTTCCCACGTAACCACTACCCATACCAAGAGCTAGAACTTGACTGTCCCCCAGAAGTCCCCTCACACTTCCTCCTGAAGGCTACCCCCTCTCCCTTCCTGGGGTAATAACTACTATTCTCCATTCTAATTAGAGATCCATTTGCCTGTTCTTGAACTATATATACATGGAATTGTATAGAACGTACTGTTTTGTGTCTGCCTCTGTCACTCAGTATTATGTTTCTTCTATGAACATGCACTCAGTCTCTTCAGTCACCAGGAAACAGAAATTAAAACCACAATAGGGTCCCACAATATGCAGAGTGGGTGGGGAACACGGAGCACCGGATCTCATACACTTCTGGTAAAGAGGAAATTGGCAAATCATTTTGGAAAGCTGAACGAAAGTATCTCCTAAAACCTGTACATTGGCTTTCTTTTTTTCTTAATGTTTATTTATTTATTTTGAGAGAGAGCAAGTGGGGGAGGGGCAGGGAGAGAGAGAGAGAGAGGAATCCCAAGCAGACTTGGCATTGTCAGGGGGAAGCCTGACACAGGCCTGGGATCATGGCCTGAGCCGACATCAAGAGTCAGATGCTTAACTGACTGAGCCACACAGGTGCCCCTGTGGCTTTCTTGGACATTCTCTGTTGTGAAGTGCTTATTTTAAGATATTAGAAAAAAGAATGAAAAGACAGCAAAACAAAGCAGAAAGAGGGAAATTAATGATAAAAGCCAAAACTAATTAGATAGGAAAACAATCAGAGAATGTAAAAATGAGACCTGAACCTGGTTCTTTCAAAACTACTGTTGAGTTAATAATACCCTGTCAACTGCTTTAAGATGAGAGAAAGAGAAAGAGACACACACAGACTGATGGACAGATAAAATGTCCAAGATCAGGAATAGGTAGAGAGAGAACATAAAAAGAAAATGAATTATAAAAGGATATTAGAATGAAACAGGCTAGCAATCCAGAAACAGATCCAAACACATTTAGATAGTTGACTTATGATAAAAATGGCACGTGGTGAGACGTGGGGGACAGTGTTTTCCTGGAGAGCCACATGGGACAGGTGAATCTTGACCACCGTCTTGCACCACCCACAAAATTAATTCTGCGTAGGTAATAGATATAAACGTAAAAGGCAAAACAAGAAAGCTTCTATAAGATAACCTAGGAAAAAAATCTTCATGACCTTGGGAAAGGCAAAGACTTCTTAACCAAACAGGTTACAAAATGCTCCAGTATAAAGGAAAAGATGGAGAAAATGGACTAGGTTAAAATGAAGAGCATTTACTCACATTGAAAAACATCCTTAAGAGAGGGGGAAATGCAAGCCATAGAGTAAAAGAGATTTTGCAACACATATAACCAAATTACATCCAAAATGTATAAAGTATTCCTACAAATCCAAAAGAAAAATGGATTCCTACAATCCAATGAAAAATGGATCAAAGACAAATACCTTTTTTTTTTTTTTAAGATTTTAGTTTTTTTAAAGTAATCTCTACACTCAATGTGGGGCTCAGACTTACAACCCCAGTATCAAGAGTCTCATGCTCTACTGACTGAGCCAACCAGGCAACCCCAAATACCTATTTTTTCCCTTAAATTTTTTTTAATGTTTGTTTTTTTTTGAGAAAGAGAGAGAAAGAGTGAGAGTGGGGAGGAACAGAGAGAGAGGGAGACACAGAATCGGAAGCAGGCTCCAGGCTCTGAGCTGTCAGCATAGAACCCGACACGGGGCTTGAACTCACAGACCGTGAGATCATGACGTGAGCCAGAGTTGGACACTTCACCCACTGAGCCACCCATGGGTCCCTCAAAATACCTAATTTTTGATCATTACCTTCAGCCCTGACTGATAGCACACACTCTGATAAACATCCTGTTTGGCTCCCTCAACTACCTGGTGCCATTTCCCCACCCTACAAATGAGGAAACTGAGGCCCAGGGAGCTAAATGACTAATTTGGAGAAAGCGAAGTCAATGAGTAGAGGAGCCAGTGCTCTACTCTGACGTTTTCTGGGTCCAAGCCCTGCGCTCTTTCCATTCGATCACGCTGAGTGATCTGGGAGCTAATGGTGAGGGGAGAATGGATCGCGGTAATGCAAGAAATCACATACCTGAAATACCAAAACCGATGATAAGTGCAATGGCTCCAGCCAAAACAATGATGATGCTAATAACGCTATGGAGAGATAGAGAAATAGGAAGTTACTCTTCAGTTCACTTCACATGCTGCTTTGCGACCTGGGTTCATGTCTGTCATTTGTCAGAGGTGCCACAGAAAGCATCTCAGCTGTCTTCTTCACTCAAAGCCCCTTCCTAGAAACAAGTGCCTTTGGAAAGGGTCCCAACAATTCCATCCCTGTCTCCCTGGGGATGCCGGGAGTCATGAAAGGAGTGACCCTTTTATCTGACTTTGCATATCATCTTCCTGTCCTATTTCCACAGCAGGGAAAACTACAGACAAAGATCGTTGGGGCAAAACTGAGGGCATCTCTGTAGTGTGAGGTACGACCTGGGGGGGTGGGGCGTACTGGTTCCATACTCAGCCCACATTGAGCATTGATGCCCAGCATTGATCTATCTGCCTTGTCTCCTTCCATAGACTTTAAACAAAAATTTTAAAAGTTTTTAAATGTTTATTCATTTTTTAAGGGATAGAGACAGAATGCAAGCAGGGGAGAGGCAGAGAGAGGGAGAGGGAGACACAAAATCTGAAGCAGGCTCTGGGCTCTGAGCTGTCAGCACAGAGTCGGACGAGGGGCTCGAACCCACGAACCGTGAGATCATGACCTCAGCCGAAGTCAGACAGTTTTCAGACTGAGCCATCCAGGCGCCCCCCGCCCCCAAGATCTTAAACTCCACTAAGGACAATGGTCATGTCTTCACTTGTACCCACACGTCCCTAGTGCACTGCACCCTGTAGGTCCTCAGTGGGAGTTTGTTTTCTCTTATTAGAAAAGTAATACATATTTATTACAGAAACCTTAGAAAAATACAAATGTGCTTTAAAAAAAAAAAGAAAGGACAATAAAATAACCCACAATTCCATCATCCAAACATAACATTGTTAACTTCTTGGAATGTATCCTGGCAGGGGCGCCTGGGTGGCTCAGTCGGTTAAGCGGCTGACTTTAGCTCGGGTCATGATCTCGTGGTTCGTGGGTTCAAGCCCTGCGTTGGGCTCTGTGCTGACAGCTCAGAGCCTGGAGCCTGCTTTGGATTCTGTGTCTCCCTTCTCTCTGTCCCTCCCCCACTCATGCTCGGTCTCTCAAAAATAAATAAACATTAAAAAAAAAAAAAAGAAATGTATCCTGCCAGTTTTCAGTGAACAGAGTAACAAATGACATTCGGGGCGGGGGAATAAGGCAGGATTGTTTACATGTGCCCAGCGCTGGAATTACTTGGCAGACACATTGTTCCAGGCATCATCTATGGATTATATCATTTATCTATTCAGTAACGTTATGAGGCAAACAAATTTACAGATGAAGAAATGACACGGGGAGATTAAGCATCTTCCCTAAATTCGTGCTGTCAGCATGTGGCAGAGCTGGGATTGGAATCTGTGTCTGGAATCTGCCCTCTCTGCTTCCCACACTGCGTCCCGAGGGGAGGGGGCTCACGCACGGGCCCGCCATCCTCTCCGCCACCCGCGCTCCTGGAGGGCCACCCGCCGTAGCTGTCCAGAGTGACTCCGGCAGAGCAGAAGGCCCAGGTCGGAGCTGGCCTGTCGGCCCAGCGGTCCCAGGAAGCTCGCCCGTCACCGCCTGCCCTTGTGCATCGGTCATCAGGCTGGCGTCCTGGGCCGCGCTCTCTCACTGCTGGCAGTGCACACACTCCCCACACCCACGCCGATGTTGCTCAATTGCAGGACAAAAGAAAGGCACAGGGAGGCAAAGAATGATGCCACAGAGAGAAAAGGGCGGCAAGGGGCGGTTGGCTTTCTGCCCTGAATGGGCTCATTGTACCCAGCTCTCCCCTTGACTCAGGGATGGGCCCACCGAGAGAAGCAACAGGCATCCAAGAAACAGTGCGAGTAGTTTCCCCGGAGGCCAGGCCCTCGTGAGGCAAGGTGTGGGGCCAGAGACCAAGTAAAGCAAAGCGATGCTTTTAATAATAGGGTGTCTGCCGTTGACCTAAGAGGAGACCCCACTTGACCACTTCCCTCTCTCTACAGCCTCGGTTCAGATGGCAGCGGGGATGTGCAGACAGCCCCACGCCCCCAGCGAGGGGCTCTGCCTGGCCCTCTGGGACTACTGAGCCAGGGAGCAGACTTGCCTTTGTGACTCAGGGTTTCACTTACCTTGAGGAAATAACTTCATCTCTCTGAGACTCCGTTTCTTTTTCTTTAAAACGGGAATAGGAGTCCTCCCTGCTTTGCCTGCTGGAGGGATGTTACGGGCTGAAGTGTGTCCGCCTCTCCAGATTTCTATATTGAAGCCCAAACCCCGAGTGCTTCTGAATGTGAATTTACTTGGAAATAGAGTCATGGCAAATGGCATTCGTTAGATGAGGTCATACCAGAGCAGCGTGGGCTCCCAGTCCAGTATGACCGGTGTCCTTATGAACAGGGGACATTGAGGCACAGACATGCATACACACTTAGGGAAAACAGCACTTTAAGACGAAAGCAGCGACCTGCAAGCCAAGGAACATCAAAGATTGCCCGCAAACCACTGGAAGCTGCCCCTTGCCCACTCACACACACACACTCTCTCTCAAAAATAAACAATCATTAAAAGAAATCATTAAAAAATAATTAAGTGAGTTAACACAGGGTTAACACAATGAGCTGAGTGATTTTAAAAACCATGTAGAATAGTGCGGGGCACATGGGAAGCCTCAATAAGTATTAGCTGTGCCCATTCTTATTTTTCGGCTGTGGTTATATAACAGACACATGTTTTTTTAAGTTGGAATATGTTTCTTTGGTGGTGCTGATGAAAGCTGGTGTGGGGATTAGCCCTTGGTTCAGCTACTGAGCTCTTTGTAAGAATGATCACCAAACTGTAATAGAGTCCTAACGGCCTCTTCTTAAGACTCTGAGTGCCTGCCTTGGGGCGCCGGGGTGGCTCAGTCCATTAAGCTTCCAACTTCGGCTCAGGTTATGATCTCACGGTATGTGAGTTCGAGCCCCACGTTGGGCTCTGTGCTGAGAGCTCAGAGCCTGGAGCTGCTTCGGATTCTGTGTCTCCCCCTCTCTCTGCCCCTCCTCTGCTCACACTGTCTCTCAATAATAAATAAACATTAAAACAATGTTTTTTTAAACTTCGAGTGCCTTCCCATTTCCCTCACGATAACACTTCACCCTTTGATGTGGCCCATGTGGCCTTTCCAAGGGGGGAGGCATCGTAGATACACCTGCCACAAGCTATCACATATGCTGTCCTCTACCCTCTCTGAGGAAAAGCAAAGACACAGAACAGACACTTGGACACTCGCTGGCAGGGAGGGGACCGTGGAGGTCGTGTATATTAGTCGCAGCGGCTCAGCCCATCTCTGTCACCCGCAGACCCACACGTTTCCCTATCAGAACCCTGTTGTCTGTCAGCCATTTCCCTCAGCAGGGATCACCTGGAGGTTTGTTGTGAACTGCTGTTTGGAACCTCTGGTGCCTTGGAAAGAGAGGCAGAAACTATCAGAGCCTCCAGATTAAATAATTCCTGTCTGCTGCTTATTAATTTCTTAAGAAGTGTAATAAAACATTCACACAAGGTGTTTTCACATTGCTTTTTGGCTTTTACTTTTCCAGAGTAATTTCCAATAATGACACTGCAGGAACTTTCTATTGCAAAGCCGTCTTTTCACCACTGTGTTGGAATTCACAGCGCACCTTGCACCTTTTAGTAGATCCCCCTTACAAAAGGGCCCAGATGAAAATCAGTGCTCTTGGAGGAGCTGCTCGTTTAGGAAGCCTTGCTGAGTATTGTGTGTGAAGGCCATTGCTGGGCGTTATGGTCAGGATGTAGACACAGAAGTGCTGGGCTTCAAGAAGCTTCCAGTCTAACTGAGGTAACACACACATGCACACACGCACACGCATGTACAACACGCACAGACATGCACATACGTGCACACTGAAGTAACATGAAATGCAGGATCTGGGCTTCAGTACAGAGACGATCAAATTCTCACAGGAATTCTAGGGAGTAGGAAGTATTTACGTCTGAGAGAAGTCGGGAGAATCCAAGTGTGTTTCCAGGAGCAAATTTCAAAGGAAGTAGAGAGGACGGTTTTATTGAGAAATGGATGTAGCTCATGCTGCAACACCGTCTCCCTCCGAGGCGGCAACCCAGGGGAATGGGGTCTTTCTGCTGCATGGACCGGGTCGGGACCCAGGCACCCGCTGGGTGCTCTGGGCTGGGAGGTGGGGGCTTTGAGGGGCTGCAGGACTCTGAGCCTTCCAGGGAAGGGACTCAGATTCTGCCAAACCCGTCCACACTCCCTGGGGATGGCCCTGTTCAGTTCCCTCACGTGTCTTTGCTTCAGCTGGTGCCGCCTTGATAGACATGAGGCACTTCTGGGAAGACAGAATACGTGGGTCCCTGAAAACCTCACACCTACAAAATCACAGAGGGAACGTGGGGGGAGGGGAAACACGGTGGAGGGCTCACCGCTCAAACCCTGTGTGACTTTGTAATCGGTCTACCACCAGGAACAGTTGTTGGCGTGTCTGGGGGAACTCGGGCGGCTTATTCAAACTGAGTCTTCTGGGAAAGTGGGGCCATGGGGGGGGTGCAGACTGGGGTGTCCTGGTCTGGGGAGGGGCCCCACGTGCAGGCGTTTGTTTGACATTTGAAACACAGATGAACCTGAAAGCCACACCAAGCCACCAAGTTCCCACAGGGCCGGAGGCCACGAGGCCAAAAGGCTCCCCTCATCCCCACCCCCTGCGTAGCTCCTCCAGCTCCATTTTGGAAAACGTGGGTTTTCTAGATCTGCTAACCCAGTGTACAGGGCACGCATCCTGGAAGGCACAGAACGCCCTTTGTTTTCTCCAAGAATTAATGGTTTCTGTGCTCTCTAGTTTCTGTCTCCTTCCCAACACCAACCGAGCCGGGAGACAACACAGCCCTTACAGATCATCAGCTTCCCTCCGCTTGAATAAATGATAAATGATTAAGGACCCGGAAACGTAGATTAAGTTAGCACACGTATGATTGATCTGAATACATTACA